GAATTAAGGTTGCTCATCATCTGACTTTAACATAGGGAGATCATGCTAGGTTATCTGTGGAGGCCCAGTGTAATCAGGAGGATCCTTATAAATGAAGGAGGAAGACAGAGAGAATCAGACTGAGAAGTGACCACAGAAGAATAGCTGAAGCTGGAGGAAGGGACACTGAGCTGAGTAGCGTAGGCCACTCACAGAAGCTGGAAAGGGGATTCACCCCAAGAACTTCCAGAAAGGAAGGGAGCCCTACCAACACTTTGATTCTAACTCAGTGAGACCTGGGTAGGACTTCTACAGAATACTACAATAATCGTGTGTGTGTGTGTGTGTGTGTGTGTGTGCGCGCGCGCGCGCACGCGTGTGTGTTTAAGCCACTACGTCTGCTGTAATTTGTTACAGCAGCAAATAAAAAACCAATACAAATCACCACCACTTATTCCCGTAGTACACTCATCACTGTAGCGCCAGGCCCTACAGAATGAAATCTTCCTAGATGCAGGCCTGGCAGCAAGAAGGAAACGGAACTGTACGCAAGGTGCATAGGCAGAATACATACGATTCTCCTTCAAGAAAAACCTCGCATATTCTGAAAACCGAGGCATGACGGCCCAACTCTGCGCCTGCCCGGGGTAAGTCTCCTTAGGAAATCCATTTTTCTAAGAACTCTGTCTAGAGAACTCCAAGAAACTGTGGGGAAACATATCCCTTTAAGTTTCAATTTCCCGAATGAAGCAAAGCACATAGGTGACAGGGTCAAAAGTCAGGAAGACGCAGGGGACCTGGGGACAGCTGCCCCCTCGGCGCCGGTGTGGCCTCAACTCGGGAACCGCGAGGGGGGCGAGGGCCCTGGGCTGGGGACGCCGAGCCGCCACCTCCCCGCCGCGGGTTTCCAAGCGCCCCTGCCCCGCGGAACCCTCCGCCCTCCTCCCCACCTGTGGCTCTCCAGCCCGAGACTGCTAGTGGCCGGGGTGGCAGCCGGGGACGGGACACCGCACTCACCCGCGTCTGCCCGCCGAGAGCGGCACCCGAGCCCAGCGGGCCTTTCCCGGAAACCACCAGCGCCGGAACCCCCGGAGGCGACGGGGCGGGGACCGCGCCGGGACTTGGAAGAAGCGCCTTGGGAGATCGGAAGGGTCCTGCACAGACGTGAGCTTCCCTTCTAAACAAGTGTCTCCCGCATTAGCAGCTCAGTGCTTTGCAAAGTTCTTTAACACTTGAGCACTGCGAGGAGTATCAAACCTCACGCGCCCAATGATCAGTCCAGAAACAGGTCGTAACTAATTTCACTTTCGATTTTTAAAACGGAGTTGTTTTGCGAGGATTATCTCAAAAGCATTCCTGAAGTTTCCATAAACACTACCTTTAGGGCATGTTTTTAAAACCACTCTTTTGGGGGTGTATTGTACAGGACATGTTATTGGGAAAGCAGATAGAACCCAAATGAAGAAAGTCAAAGAGTGAGTGCCTGGCTTTAGATTGCACCTCTCACTGTAATGTATTAGTCATTATAACTTTCGTTTCCAAATTTCTCCAGCCAGCGCAGGATCAACGTTTCTGAGTCTTTTGCAACGTCCCCTGGGCGATGAAGTTGGGCAAGTGCAGTGTTGGTGTTTCGCTTGGTTTCTATGACCCAGATCCCTTGAAAGTTTTCTTATTATCTCTTGTTTTGTTGTGAAGCTTGTAAATAAATACTTCACTAGGTGTGAGCTTTTCCTGTGAAGACTCAAACATCTGGCTTGTTTCAAGAACTGCAGTGTTTCTTCATCCTACACAGAGAGCCACCACCCCACAGCTGCGCTCGCTCATAAACAGAGGTGTGGGAAGGGGATGGATCAGAATTACTTCAAGGGATAAATTCTAGTTTATAGTACTATATAGTCACTTATGATAAATGATACAGCAGTTGAAAATGACAGATTAGCAGAAGTAAAATTCCTTTATACAAAAATGTTGGTAGGAAACAGTTTAAAGTGGCATTTCAATGTGAAAAGAAGAAAGTGGTGAGTGATCAGAATCTTTCTGTGCTCAGCAGCCCAAAGTACGAAAACTCTATTTGCTACAGCTTGACAAAGAATCACTTCTCTTTACCTTGGAATTTTAGAGGAAGTATAGCTCATTTCTTCATCTTTTATTTTATTTTTATTTTTTGTAAGAAGAGACTAAGGGGCAGGACCATGACCAGAACAGGACCAACCTTATAATACTCAGATCCTGTCAAAGGAGCACCCAGTGTGGTTCCTCCAATGTTAAAGAGGGAGAAAGGGCTGGCATAACTTTCCAAGTAAGTTATACCTTGATGAGGGAAGCCTATTTCTTATTTATTTAGGGTACACTCTCAATCTGTTCCCCAGGCTAGCACACCCTGGTGTCAGCCTAGTTCTCAGCAACCTCAGACTCCTGGGTTCAAACCATCCTCCTGCCTCAGCCTCTTAAGTAACTAGGACTACAGGCACCCACCCAATTTCCACCTGATTTTTCTATTTTTAGTAGAGCCAGGTCTTTCTCCTGCCTAGGCTGAGCTCACATTACTAGGATTATAGGCATGAGCCACCACTCCCGGTCAGGGAAGCGCTTTTAGACAACTATATTCCATTACTGAACCATGTGCTAACTGTTTGGATTCAAATCAGCTTCACATCTGGTACTGTACAGAGTGCTGGGGATCCAAAGATAAATAGTTGGATCCTGGATAGATACACACACACAATATATATATATCGAGAGAGAGAGACAGAGTCTCACTACGTCACCCTCGGTAGATTGCCATGGCGTCACAGCTCACAGCAACCTTAAACTCTTGGGCTTAAGAGATTCTCCTGCCTTAGCCTCCTAAGTAGCTGGGACTACAGGTGCCCGCCACAACATCCAGCTATTTTTTGTTGCAGTTATCATTGTTGTTTAGCTGGCCCAGGCCAGATTTGAACCTGCCACCCTTGGTATATGTGGCTGGTACCGTAACCATTGTGGTATGGGCACCAAGCCTGGACATATTATTACTAATCATAATTGTTAACATTCACTAAGAACTCTTGGGCATGTTATAAACCTATTCACAACAATATTAGATATAAATATTATTCCCATTTTGCAGATGAAGAAACTAAGGCTTAAAAGGGACTCAAAATCAGCTACGTATGGTGGCTCTTGCCTGTAATCCTAGCACTCTGGGAGGCTAAGGCAGGAGGATTGCTTGAGCTCAGAAGTGCCAGTGAGACTCGCCTGTTCTAAAACTAGCCAGATGTTGTGATGGGCACCTGTAGTACCAGCTATTCAGGAGACTGAAACAGGAGGATCACTTGAGCCTAGGAGTTTGAAGGTGCTGTGAGCTAGGTTGACCCTATAGCACTCTAGCCTGGGCATCAGAGTGAGATTCTGTCTGCAAAATAAAATAAAAAAAGGTGACCCCAAATCAAACAGTTAATATATGGTGACATTGGTATCATACTCCACTCTCAACTTATGTCTCCAAACTATTCTATGGTACATGGGGAAGATAAAATTTTACAGCCAAATATGATTAGGAAATGCTGCATACAAAATTCACTTTTGGAGATTCACAGTGTACATCAGCACATTAAGAATTACAAGTGCTGGGCGGCACCTGGGGCTCAGTGGGTAGGGCGCCAGCCCCATATACCCAGGGTAGCAGGTTCAAACCCAGTCCTGGCCAAACTACAACCAAAAACTAACCAGGAGTTCTGGCAGACACCTGTAGTCCCAACAATGATAACTGCAACAAAAAATTGCCAGGTGTTGTGGCAGGAGACTGAGGCAAGAGAATCACCTAAGCCCAGGATTTGGAGGTTACTGTGAACTGTGACACCATGACACTCTACCAAGGGCAATAAAAGTGAGACTCTGTCTCTAAAAATAAATAAATAAATAAAAGAAAAAATAAAAGAATTACAAGTGCTTCAGGGAAAAATTTAAGTATGCATTTAAAAGGTTAATTTTATTTGACTTTAATTTATCAAACTAATTTAACCAATACATTATTTTTTCAAGGAACAGCTATTAAAATCTTGGAGAGTTTCACTATAGCCCAGGATGAAGGAGAGAAATGGAGTGGGAAGGGAGGGGAGGGGTGAGGTTTGACAAAGGAAGGGTAAAAGGCGGAACCACACCTATGGAGCATCTAACAAGGATACAAGTCCAATCTGTGAAGTGTAGAACATAGATGTTTTGGCACAATAATCAAGTGAATGAGGTGAAAGCTATGTTGATTGGTTTAATGTAACCACATCAGATTGTATAAAAAAAATCAGGACATTGTACCCCACATATGCATGAATGTATTCATGATCTATGTGCATTTGACTTAATAAAAAATAAATAAATAAAATACAACCTTGGAAAGCTTCTAATGGGGCATTTCAAGTAACGCTTTACTAAATTATACCATCTTCTAATATACAAATTACTTATTGAGTGCTCATCATGCACTCAGTATATTATGTTGCATGTGAGATGCTGTTGAACATTTCATGTAAATCTACATAGATATGAGATATAAATTATATTATGCATTTGTGTCCCCCACCAGATGGCAATGAACTGTTCCTAGAATACCCATAAACACACACGCGTGTACACACACATCTGTGTTACACACAGTGTATTGGATGCAATGAAGGGATAAGATGCCAGGAGTAGTAAAAGATAAAGGAGAGAGTAGCCCTCTCTACCAGAGGAGGTCAGGAAAAATTTCCTTCACAGAAGAAGCAAATATTGAGTTGATTCATTCCGGTAAAGGAGGTAGGCTGAGAAAAAAATAAGGTGAAAAGTCCCAGAGGCACAGGCAATGAACATTTAGGTTCACCCAAAATTTGTTTGTTAAAATCCTAACCCCCAAGGTGATGTTTAGGACTGAGGCCTTTGGGAAGTAATTAGGTCACAGGGGTGGAGCCCACATGAATGGAATTAGTGCTCTAAAGGCCCAAAGGAGCTTGTTAGCCTCTCCCACCAGGTGAGAATACAGAGAAAAGGCAGCCTCTGTGAATCAGAAGTAAGTCCAGAGCAGACACTGAACGTGCCAAAGCCTTCATCTTGGGCTTCCAGCCTCTAGAACTGTGAGAAATAAATTCCTGTTGTTCGTAAGCTATCAGTTTTTAATATTTTGTTATAGTAGCTTAAATGAACTCAAAGAGATTCGGAGCCACCAAAAATTTAGTGGATATGCAAACATGAGAAAGTTACCCGATAGCCACTATACTATACTGTCTTTTAAAAAAAGGTCTCGTAGTACACCGAACTTATGCTGCTATTGCTAAGGTTTTGGTGATAGGGTTTATAGTTCATCCCAGGGAAAGCTAGAACTTATATCCCAGCATTGGGCAAGATCCTGGGAATTAGGTAATATCATTCTCATTTTCAAGAGGTTTGCCATTGAAATATATGAATGATAAAAGAAAATAGCTTACTCTTTATTTAGCATGAAGTTCTATACAGTTAAAAGCATTGTTTTGATGTCCAAAGTGATTGTAAATTCCAATTTTAAGTTACTGACATTTTCTCATCTGTAAAATAGAGCTGTGGCGGATAAATTAGAGTCACACATCAAGGACGGAGCACAGTGCCCTGCGTGCAATAGCACAAGGAAAATGGTACCTGTTAGCCTTCCGTACTATGGTGAGGTAGGGTGTTTTATTTTTTCTAATTTTTCTTGCACATTTCTTTTATGTTTGGTTTTCCTTCCTAGGACTTTTAAGAAAAAAGTCATTTCTCTTACAGCTCATGTATCACTTGACATTAGGAGTTCGAGCCCGAGAAGAGCACGATCTAGTCTCAACAACAAAAAAATGAGCCAGGCATTGTGGCCAGCACCTATAGTCCCAGGTACTTGGGAGGCTGAGGCAAGAGAATCACTTGAACCTGGGAGTTGGAGGTTGCTGTGAGCCAGGCTGATGCCATGACACGCTGCCTAGGATGATAGAGTGAGACTCTGGCAAAAAAAAAAAAAAAA